TTTTTTTTTTTCAAATAAACTTACCATTTGTATGGCAGACTACGAGTTATTTTTCCACATTTTGGCGGTTCATAATCTATTTACCGAATTTTATGGGGAAAGACAGGGTGGTATATGAGTTGGCTCTTTCGCTCTGATAAATATTTACCGGAATCATAACGAATAATATTATGGCGTTAAAGAATTTGTTATAAAATTATTCTTATCACAACTTTTAATTTATAATTGATCACAATATATTATTGTTTATGTGAGTGGATACGCTGCTTTTATTCAATATTATAATATTTTTAAAGAATAACAAAATTAAAAGTGTTTATTATTATTATGTTATACTATTGTGTCGTAAGTATAAATTTCTCTCCCCCTTCTAAAATCGGTTCCCTCTACGCAACTTTGACCTCTGCAGCTTATATCCGTTGTCAGCAGTATATATAGTTCTCATATTGGCAGTGGTCATTTTTCGTTGCCCGCGATTATGAAAGTGATCGAATACCTACCTCAAAGACGGGACGGAAAATTGTYTCAAAAAAATGTTATAATATTATGAAATGTCATGSTCGACGAAAGTGTTCGTGGTCACGCACAATAATATCCCTTCGCGATAGTCACAAAAGTCGCCATATTCGACCCTTTTCCGACACACGATCGCTAACATTTCCGGTTCGTGATTTATCTCGTGCAGCACGACGTTTTCGCTTACCACGCCACCGTGTCGCGATCGTTTCGGAACGTTTTCTTTTTGGCGGTATCTGGACGGTTTCCAAAATACTCCGAGACGGTCGGCTGCATGAAAATGATTGGTCGGTCGTCTGCCTGAACGAATTTTTTTCGTCCCATCGCCAAGTGCCTTTGCGTCGGGGTCGTCGGTCGTCGAACAAGACAACGCGACAATTCGGTCTGCGACGTTCCAAATTCAAAATCGCGTCGTTTTGTATGATACTATAATATATACTATATTATGTTTCGACCTTGTTTATTTCATTATGCACAAAATGGATATGTGCCGCACAATTGAATAGGATAGGTACATAGTATAACGTCGAATTGGAGGCAATTCGTATATTTTGAGAAGGCAACTAAAGTATATATATGCACTGGTTATAGTATACCATCAAAATCGTAAATATCCATATAATATGATGTTGATGTGCGAACAATATTGAATGATGTGTTCATTTTGTTATCAGCAGACAATGACGAAGTTTAGCATTTTATTGAATATATTAATGCATGTTTTTGCGCGATGATAAATTATGTAAACGACGTATGAACTTAATGATGTGATTTGCGTTTTCAGCCGGGCTATCGTCAACAACCCGGACGTGACGCGAGCCGCTCCTCTGACCGACATCTGGACCAACGACTTCTGGGGCACGCCGATCGGGTCGAGCAGCTCGCACGGTTCGTACCGGCCGCTGTGCGTGGCCTCGTTCCGGCTGAACCACTGGACGGGTGGCCTGGACCCCAAGGGCTACCACGCGGCCAACGTTCTGCTGCACTGCGCCGTCACGTATCTGGTGTACGTCGTGTACCGGACGCTGATGCCCGGCCGCCGGCCAGCCGCCGCCGCMGCCGTGTTCGCCGTCCACCCGGTGCACGCCGAGGCCGTAGCAGGTGTCGTGGGCCGCGCCGACCTGCTCGCCTGCCTGTTCTACCTGGCCGCGTTCCTGTGCTACACGGCGCACGTCCGGCACCGGGACAGGACGCCAGACCCGCGGCGACGCGTCGTGTGCTGTGACGCCGGCTGCCACCGTCGGACGTACCGTCTGGGTTCGGCGGTGCGCACCGTTTTCGCCGCCCTGGGGCTGGGCACGTGCTCCAGCGACCTGGATGGCCTGCCCGGCGGCGTGACCGAGTGCTGCGCTGTCCGAGAGTGGGCCTGCTTGGCGGCCACCGTGCTTATGGCGGCCGCGTCCATGCTGGCCAAGGAAACCGGGCTGACCGTGTTGGCCGTGTGCGCCGTGTACGACGTGCTGTTCGCCAGCAAGCAGTCGCCGAACAAGGTAAGATAACTGAATATTGTTGTTGAAAACTCCTATAATAATATTGTTATATTGTCATTTTTGTAGTCAGTTTAATATTATGATTATTTTTGCTGAATATCATCTATTTTTATTTTTTATTGATTAAAACCAAAAACATATTGCAATCACATAATATGTTATATATAGTTTAAATAATGATGCGATTACACTAGTAGATTTTTTATATATGTTATTGGCATAGAGTTAAAACGTGTATATAGGACCCAAATATTCCAAAAAAAAAAAAAATTTTTCCGATTTTAATTTTTGTGTAAGTACCTACTATATATGAATATCGCCTGCCCTGTTATTATACGTTTATAACCATTGTCAACACGCATAAGACTAATTTTACCGGTTTTAATTAAAATAGCGAACAGGTGTGTACAGTATAGGTGTAGGTGTCTATAGTATGTCATTGACAGAACTTTGCAAGTTATTTTTAGTTCGATAAAATCGACTTCTGCGGATAGGGTGAGAGTTTTTTTTTAAGCATTTTAACAGTTTTAAAACAACTGTCCTTAATCGAATAACCGATATTTTCAATAGGTTTACGTGTAGATTCCAATCAATTGCCAAACCTAAATATTTTACTTTAAATAGGTACCGTTTACCTTTAAGTATAGCTAGGTCATACTCGACGAGAGTTCGCGATCAGACATTTTCCGCGGTTAAAGGAGCTGAGTGGAATCCGAGTAAAATTTGATCAATCCCGAAGAACTATMAACCATGGCTGATGACGGTGGCGAATAAACAACGAGGGAAATTGTAGTCCGTGGAATGATAAAACAATTAACACCGAGTACCTACAATGTTTCACTTGACGTAAACACTCGAATATTATGGACCATTTTGAGTGGGTTCCTCGATGGACTGGGTCACACCACTTATGGCGAACACCCGTTTTTGATCCGGTACAGAGATTTTCAGCAGCGGTTACGTAGATGAGAACGTAATTTTGTGTTACCTCTTCGAAGATACTATACATAAAATGTGCAGCGGAGATGTATTTTTTAAATATTTAACGAATATCTATTTGAATAACATTACCACCGGCTTATCCAACACTTACGTCTTTTGTATAAATTTGCGTTAACGCCATTATGTTTCCACAATTTGCGTGTAGATTCTTTCTACTAGTTCAAATAGTTTGTCATGGGAACGAACCATTTTTGTCCTATATTTATGACGTACTGATAGATATATCTATGCTGAATTATTATTCACTATGATAAATTATTGTGGGGGTGTGGAATATGGAATCTATTTCTGAAGTAACTAGAAAGTATTTATAGAATAATGTACTGAGACCGTTGTAACTTATATAATATAATAATAATATTACCTTTATGAAGTGTGGATTTTTTCAACACTGTTGTATGTTTGACGTTCGTCAGCGGATCATTTTTTTACCCCTAAAAAATGCCAGATTGATAAAAACTAAAAAAAAAAAAAATACGCAACTCGATCAATGTCAGTTCTATATTATATAGTTTTGACAGTTCTGTGCATGGCTGGTGACTCTCGTCGAAAAAGAGTTATTTAAACTATCGTTACCAGGTCCAAGGGATTGACAGTGAAYTTTTATCTAAAATCATAAAATACCCATCAGAATCAACCATTAATGCATCAAACCAATATTTTTGAATTTTCTGAAAATATACATATTATTAATTTACATGAAATTCTGAGGAGCTTTCTTACGACGATAGCRCGATATTKATATTCCAAAAAGATTATTCATTATACACTCAGAAAAATAATTCTTCGTGGCCCTCGTTTTAGGATAAAAAAATAGTCTCRTAAAAATGTTACCATCCTATACCCGTAGATAAATTAAATGATTTATTATTTAATTGTTATTATGTCCACTGGGTATAGTTCCCATAAGTAAGTACAGACATGATTATTATTATTATTATTTATTATGATTATTGCTGTTTTATGCTAATGGAGTTTCAAAAATCATTTCGACTATATAACTTTTAACTCGAGTTCAATAACAATAATAAGCCAAGAAATGAAGGCTAAACAATAAATTCTAAATCCTGAAATTATCGTATTTGTTTTAACTAGCTACCATTCAGAATGAGGTCAATACTAGAATCGTAACCTAATTACAGTTTGTATTTGAAAAAAAATTAATTCAATTTTAGAGTTTTTAAATCTAAACTTTTGATGGAGGCTTTGAAAAGTTTACCACTTAAGGACTTGAACACAGACAGAGACAACTCTAACTTTTGAAAGATATTAGAGAACTCCTGTCATGATTACAAATTCTCGAAGGAAGTTTGTCAAACTAATCCAATAACTAACAATTCCGATATTTTAGGAGTTTCAGTTTCATTTCCATAATTGTGATATTTAACTAATTAAAATAGTATGAATTATATCCTTTGATTTCAATGCCACAAATATAACGAACATGTAAAGCATTTTATTACTAATTTGTTTTGAGTTTTGAAACTAATCTGATAATTATGAAAAAGGAAAGTTTACAGACATCAAAATACCCTTTTCATAATATTGCAAAAACTGAAAAGCGTACTCGTAATTTATTTTGTTATCCAACAGTTAGAAAACGTTAGAAAATTAAATTTCAACTCAAAATATTCATAATATTTTTTTAGTTGTTTGGAAATTAAAACTATAAAAACAATAATGCATTAGTAATTAGAATAGTCATTTATAATGTATAACGTGTAACAAAACGTAACAAAAATATTCGTATACGATTTGACAGATATTATTTTATGACATTTAATTCCATAGATGTATAGTAAATAAAATATCATACAAATGCGTACGTGCACTTAAAAATTAGGAATTTCAATAGTTTAAAACTATTATTTATAAATGTGGCATAACAGTTAACATGTTTTGTGTGTTAATTATAAGCTGATGTTAGGTACAGAAGATATATTAACTAAGACCATGTTGTTATATAAATAAAATAAAATCACAACTATATTATTTCTGAATATGTGTGCTTAACACTGCACTGCAGTACCTATTCAAACCATAACTTTTATTCACTTAAAATCTTAAAATTTAACCATATTATTTAAGAACTTAATAAAGTATTTTATAAAACCAAAAACTATGGCATTTGATTGTACAATGCGATTATAAAATCAAAAGTTTTGAGATTAATTCAAAAGTACATTATTTTATATTGAGATTTGAGGCAAAAGTTTTTATAAAATTATATTTACTGGCAGTATCATTCCCATTGTTTAATAATAAAGAAATAAGAGCTATTCTTAATCTAAAATCACGTCAACAAAACTTACGTCATAAAAATGTTTAGTACTAACGAATAACACTTAAATTGTGTAAGGAGTTTTTTTTTTATTATAATTAACAATATGCTAACTTCGTATTACATTTTTATTACTAAGTTACAATCATAGACAAAGAGAATATTATCCGAAATAATTATATTTTTACAACTACCACTATAATAATATATTTATTTAATAATTTGCATGTTTCTGCTTTTCAAGAGGTATTGAGTAACAATGGCTGTGTGCTTGTTTTTGTTGTAAAAACATTTTTCCCCGTAATGAATCCTTTTAAAAACGATTTTTAATTATTTATTTATAAAGTGTTGTTTCTTTGAATTGTCTAGATCAATCTGCCAGTTGTAAAGAATRGCAGAGAATAATCAAGAATTTTTTATTCAAAAAAATATCATAATGAATATTTAATTCCATTTTTATTTTTTTAAACGGAACATAAATTTAATGAATTCGTTTCATACAGAACGTTATTGTTAACCTTGTAGGTATACAGAATATAAGGGTTCTGTGGAATAGGYAATAACAATAGTTACCTATTAACTATTATGGTCGTGATTGTATATAGTATGAATATAATATATTTTGAATACCTATGAGAGGACAAAAATGCATTGAATTCAGACAATTAAATGAAAGTAGGTACGTCATAATATAATCATATTTCACATTATCAAATAAATTGTTTTACATAGAATTTGTGAAAATTAATTCAAGTATAAGTTTAAAACAAAATAAAAGCATTTTAAAATATTTAAAAAAATGCGAAATAAAAGAATAAAAATGATACGAGTATGCTTTGACACAATATGATCAAAACTTTCCTATCTTTAGTACGACATATAACTACAAAAAAAAATATGTAAGCTAATAGCAATAATGCTATTAAAAATAAAACTTTCACTATTTAATACATATATGTGTATTATAATAATTCTATTGAATCATTCACAAGGTAGCAATTCATATTTTATCTAAATGTACAGAACAATTAAAAATTTCAATAAATTTCACATTACAAAAATATTTGAAACGTTGATCTTAAACCAAATTAAARAAAWTCAACCACGGGTCGTTAATGGAGGAAGAGCATGATTTTTTACAAGATCGTTCTACCACAACGTGCATTTCAGTGTTTAGTCATTTTGTGTATGAACGTTCTATGAATTCGCAAATTGATGTCAAGTGTACCTAAGAGTTTTCATTTAAGTCCTTAAAGAATTTGGTTTCGGCGAGTCATTTTTGGTATAGTCGAAGTTATTTCTTGAAAATGGATACTAAGAATGGTCAGTCTTCATCTACACATCGAATGCGTTTTAAGCGTGATTTGGCGGCCACTTGTCTCCATTTTCGTTATTGCTGTTTGTCAATATAATTAATATTAATACAGTTAATACTGTCTTTCATCGCAGTCACCTACTCGACTTTTCTGATGATACGAAAACACTCACCTCCATTTGTGACATTATATTTCAGACGATTGAAAGATGCTCAACAATAATTAACTTCGATGATTTTGTGACATAATAAGGTTCATCCTCATAAAAATTTTCAATTATTAGGATATAACGTAGGAATAATATCACTAAGAACCGATCTCTCGTAGTACCTACTAATTTCTCCGAATATTTGTCGTTCTGGACCCGATTTTAATCTCAGTAGTTCTTTGGGTCCCAACCT